CTCTCTCTCTCTCTCTCTCTCTCTCTCTCTCCACCCTCCTTTTTTGTTTGTTTGTTTGATTGGTTTTGTTTTCTTTTTTTCCCTTTTGGCATACCGGGGCTTGAGCCAGGGCTTCCAGCTGAGCTACATGCCCACCACCCCCTTTCTTATTTTGGGACAGGGTCTAGCTAAGTTTCCCAGGCCGGTCTCAAACCCGCCATCTTTTTGTCTTAGCCTGGAGAAAGTGCTGGGATTAAAGGCATGTGCAACTGCCTCCAGTATCCATTTCCTTTTTAAATGTATCCAGTTGCATTTGTATTCTATTTGTTCTAATTAATGTGCATCATAGTACTAGGTACAAAAAATCTTTCCCTCCTGGAACAGTTCCACGTTTGAAATTTAAATAGCTTACATGTTTTTCCAGCAGCACTTCTCTTTATATAAAACTTGAGATAGCACATGACTTTTAGAGATCACAACCAGGTGTTTTAGTCTTTATACCACTTCTTGTATTGGGTGTGATACATAGAAGAAAAAGTAGTAGTGTTACAATAGTTTTAAATAATCTTAATGTATACCCATTAGCAAGGTTTCAAGGGAGCCATAGTTAAGTGAATTTCAGAATGCTGCCAGGTTTATGAGATGTAGCATGGCAAACAATGAATGAGTTTTTCTTGGTAGATTTTTTCTTCCATCATACTGTATATTAAAATGGGGTTTTATGTCACATATTACATTAATCACTGCTAGGTGATGAAGGGTTTCAAGATAATTCCTCTGTCAGAATGCTTTTCATCATATAAAGGGAAAATGGAATACATTAAATTATGCAGTATTTGGAGACATTTTCTAACAGTAGTTAGAAAGGAGGTGAACTGTATTCTAACATTTTCATGGTGTTTGCTACTTTCTTATGGTACTTCTTAGAAGTGGTCAAATTATACAGTTGCATTGTGTGCCTGGTGATTTAATCTTGATGTTTGTTAGAGTTTGGGTGGTTGCCTGCTAATCTTAACATAGCTTTATTTGAAGAATTCCTGGATTGAAGGTCTGGTCTTGCAAAGTGATTTTTGTTATTGTTTTTGACATATGCTCCAAGAATGCCCAAAGCCTTAAGTTAATTTTTGTGTTAAATTCTCAACTTGAGAATTTCTGATCCACTAGGGTAGTATATATTCAAATTCAGATAAGAGCTGAGTGACAGTGGGGTTGGCCTTTGGGTGACAGATTATGTAGGGCCCTGTTTTTCCTCTTACTAGAGAACCAGATCAGGGTGAATGTGCTTCCTTGACTTTTAAAAGGGAACACCCCCCCGATTCATCTTTCCATTGATAGATGGCTCTCCTACAATTTTATTTCCGTGTGTGTGTGTGTGTGTGTGTGTGTAAACCAGTGCAAGCAAATACATACCACTTTTCTTCCTGCAGTATTAGTGTATTAGACTGCTTGTGTTTCATTTGTAGAAATGTGATGTTCTTCAGAACTTAGCTATGTATTTCAAATGTTTGTTATATTTTCATGTGTTTCTCCATATTTGTAATGAGAGGGGGTTTTATACTACCAGAGGTTTTACACTGCACTGTTGGAACTAGAAGTTTATAAGATACTTAATCTATTTTAGATATTGTGATGAGTCTGCCAGATGTATATTAATCTGTTAAGACAATGGCAAATTTCTTAATTCATGCTTTTTATATTTGAGTTACACCTGAGAATTAAAAGTACAAAATATTACAAAAAATACTTTCCCACTTAGCTATAAGTGCGTTATTTTGTTTTCTGATATGCTAAACACTAGATGTTTTTAATCTTTATCTAATCAGTCGTGCTGATGTCACAGCTATAAGATTCAGATTAATTTAGTGGTAACTCATTTGAGGAGGTTGCTGAGTTTGTTGTGTTTTTTCATTCAACAAACATTTGTAGTGCAGTAACCAAAAAACTACCAGCTATGAAGCTAAATATACTACAAATCTAGTCTTCTAAGGGTTTACATGCTAGTGGTGCTAGTTTGTTAGAAGTCCTTAATTAAAATGGATAAAAAAAAATTTGTTCTATCACTTAGTGTAAATACCGGTTTCAGTGCCTTACCGTTCATATTATATACGTCCTTTGATAATTTACGGACAGAAATCACATGTTGAAGATAGGTTTAGAATCAAATTAAACTTCAACAATTATAAGCTACTAAAAGTTTTATGTAGCACATCTCACAAGTTATATGGTGTCAGTGAGAACATACATAATAGTACTTTGTCTTTCGCCAAAAAGATAGTTGAACTGTGTTATTGTTCAGAATTTGGGACCTAAAAAAGAATGCTGAATGCATGTAGCTTGACTCTTATTCCTGAATGAAAGTATGGAGAGATAAAAGAACTCTATCAACTCTTTGACCTTTTATTTTAATTCTGCTAGTTAGTTGAAGAGCAGGAAAACAACTATCTCCTGAAGGTCAGCTTAGTAGCCTGACCCCTTAGGGACAGGCTAACATATTCAGATTAAGAAATTGAGTTTTATTCTGGGGTCTGGTAGTATGTGAGAGCCATCAAGAACAGCATAAATTCTACAAAACTGAACATCTTCAGTTCAGTGCTATAATAATGATAATATTTTATAACCTTCAAGGCCCAGTGTTGGACAGTTTTTTATTAAATATTTTCGGTGATAACTAGAAAAATACTTTTATTCAGCAACATAATTAATATCCAAAAATATGAATACTCAGATTTCTTTCTTGGTAGAGTAACAATGATAATTTTGTAGAAAGAAAGCAAAAGCAACTTCACCTCAAAAGAAAATCATACTTAAAATAATTTCTGACAGATTAAAAATGGGAAGCAAAGGAAGTTATAATACTTGCTGATTTCAGCTTTTTCTACATGCAGAGTTCACTGATAAAAAGTATCTAGAGTCCAGTTTCCTACACACTGTACCACACTGTCTTCTACTACCATAGATACTGTGAAATAAGAAGAAACTGTTCAAAAGAAAAAGGGAAATAGGGAGAAGCAAAGGAGAAGGAAAGGAAAGAAAAAAAGGAGAAAAGAAGGATAAAATGGGAACTGAGCTCTGTCAATGAGGAAGGGAAGGGATTGTGAAAAGAGGGATGGGAATGGGAAAAAAAGAGGAATCAAGATGCATCATGTACAGATACAAATTGCCTATAATGAATGTGGTCATTATGTATACCTAAATTTTACCAATAAACTTAAATTTTGAAAAAGTATTATTTTAAATAGGTTTCATTATAAAATATAACCAACTTGCCACACACACGTATATCTGTATATTTATTTTTTACTTTTTATTTTATTGGTACATTTTAAATATATATAACAGTAATAATCATCATAGGGAGTTTGTACCTAAACATGATATATCTTGCTTCTTTTTTCATCATCCCCTTTTATCTTCAAGGTTTAGTACTGTAGTTTTGAGTGATAATTTTCCATAATTTTTTCTCATGAACAATAAATATGGAAAGAAGGGATTTTTGTGAAGTTCTCATAGATGTGGGTCTTTTGAATGAACGTTCCACCAAATGAAGTTTCTCAAATAATTACAACTGGGTGAATAAGAAATGTGATTCTGATCCTGTACTTGAAATAGATTGACAGTATCAGTGAAATTACCAACCCCATGCAAAATGGATTATATTAACTACTTTGAAAAACTGTTTGTATGAGCATTCATGTATCTCCTTTTTATCTTCTAATCAATATGCAAACTTTTTATCTTTCATGATCTGTGAAATAAGGGCCTTTTATTTTCTGGTGAGCTGCTTAAATGATGGTTTCTGGTCTTCCAATCTATTTCTAATCTTTCCAACTAAATTGTAAATTCTTCAGAGATAGGGCTTTTTATTTTATTTATTGCAACATTGTTTAAAATGGTGTTAGCCTAGTAATGGTTATTAAGTAAATGTTTGAGGAAAGAAAAAGGAAGGAGGGAACGCATTGAGAAATTGGAGCTTGGAAGACTTGTATACTTGAAATTCAGTATTTGGGTTTTACTGTATTTAGTTTTTAAAGTGATAATTAACCACTCACCAGTCCAGTTATTTAAATATAGGATGATCAAAAGTAGCATATATTTTTGGTAATTTTTATAAGGTAATAGGAAATATAAAAATGACAGTTTAATCAAATTTATTCAGTCATGTTTCTGTGTATGGTATATCTTAAAACATTTAATACACAACACAACATTACCACCTGGACAGTAGTATCTAGTCTCTTTCCGAATTCTTTTTGGATTGCTGTTTTTCTTTGAATAACACGCTTCTCACT